GGCTGAGCAAGAGCCAAAGGGTCAAGGAGAAGGATTCTGTTCCTGCCCAAGCTGTGCTACCCTCACCCAAGCTACCAATGCTACAGCTCTAGAAAAGCTGTAGATTTTAGGACTCTGCAATACTAATGAGTAAGATATAAGACTGTCCTTTGGACATATAATCTGACATCTCCTGGAAAAGGACCATTTCTTAACTCCCCCTTAGCGATAGCCTACAAAATTCTCTGAAGTAATTCTTGTTTGAGGGTTTCATTTTTCTGAGGTTCTTGAGCGTAAAGCAACATATGAACCAGAGCGTGTCCATGGATTTTGTGAATTGCAGCCTGTTAGCCCTAGAAACACACCATAGATGACAAAGTACAAAAGCCCGTTCTACCAGACCCAGGAAGTTTTGATCCAGGAAGGCAGTGTAAAGCAGAATGGCACAAAAAGCCCACAAGTAAAAATATTTTTGATTCATGTGAGGCATAAATGTCTCCTTTGTCTGGTGTCTGAAACCCACATACTTTACCATACCCTACCCAAGTGGAGGTGTTTGTTTTTTTTTTTTTTGTAAAAGCAGAAAAATGACATAAAGGGAGGATCCGTAGGAACAGTTTCCACAATAGCTCTGTGAACTCCACTTCTCCCATATACACCTCACCTAGATTTCTAATGTAGCACAGTAAGATTAGAACAGGAGTTTAATTTATTTGAGAACAAGAGTTTAATTTACTTGTGCTAAGCAGTGATCAAATTGTGCCACACATAACACACAATGGGAACCTTGACAAAAGACCTCGAGAATTAATTGTAGGAGTAGACACACACTATAGTTTCATAAGCTACATATAACTACCCTCTAAGAAAATCAGAGGTCAGCCTCAAGGCAAAACACAATCTATAAGGGATATATTCCTCAGTTATTCATTAGAAATTAGCCTACAATTTCTTCGCACAGATTATCTAACACATTTGCATCTGGACATGACCGAATTCTTAACAAACCATCTCAACAACCTTCTTGCTACATCTAAGAGCGAAAAGTTACATCTTTAACACAAAAGAGAATCACATAACCACAAGGGTTGGAAGGATCTGGAATATTGTGTCCAGTTCTGGGCCCCTCAGTTCAAGAAGGACAGGGATCTGCTGGAGAAAGTCCAGCGCAGGGCAACGAAGATGATTAAGGGAGTGGAGCATCTCCCTTATGAGGAAAGACTGAGGGAGCTGGGTCTCTATAGTTTGGAGAAGAGGAGACTGAGGGGTGACCTTATTAGTGTATATAAATATATAAAGGGGGAGTGCCACGAGGATGGAGCCAGGCTCTACTAGGTGGCAAACAATGATAGGACAAGGGGTAATGGGTACAAACTGGAACACAAGAGGTTCCACTTAAACTTGAGAAGAAACTTCTCAGCGAGGGTGACAGAACACTGGAACAGGCTGCCCAGGGAGGCTGTGGAGTCTCCTTCACTGGAGACATTCAAAACTTGCCTGGACACATTCCTGTGTAACATTATCTAGGTGTTCCTGCTCCGGCAGGGGGATTGGACTAGATGATCTTTTGAGGTCCCTTCCAATCTCTAGCATACTGTGATCCTCTGGAGATCATCTAGTCTGACCCCCCCCCCTGCCATGGCAGGGTCACCTATAGCAGGTTATACAGGAACACATCCAGGCAGGTTTTGAATGTTTCCAGAGAGGGAGACTCCCCAACCCTCATGGGCAGCCTGCTCCACTGCTCTGCCACGCTCAACATAAAGAAGTTCTTCCTCATGTCTAGGTGAAACTTCCTTTTTTAGTTTGTGGCCATTGCTCCTTGTCCTGTCACTGGGCACCACTGAAAAGAGTCTGGCACCATCCTGCTGGCACCCACTTTTGAGATATTGATACATATTAGTGAGATCCCATCCTAGTCTTCTCTTCTCTAGACTAAACAGGCCCAGCTTCCACAATCTCTCCTCGTAAATGATGCTCCAGAACCCTGATCATCCTTGTGGCCCTCTGCTGGATCCTCTCCAGTAGCTCTTTTTCGTTCTTGTGCTGATGGGTTCAGAACTGGACACAGTACTCCAGATGTGGTCTCACCAAGGACGAGGAGGAGGATCACCTCCCTCACCCTGCTGCCACACTCCTCCAGATGCACCCCAAGATAGTGTTGGCCCTTCTGGCTGCAAAGCCACACTGCCAGCTCATAGTCAACTTTTATCACCTACCAATACTCCCAGGTCCTTCTCAGCTGCAGTTTGCCCAATTAGATAGAATTTTAGGGCTCAGACAAAGGAGACATTTATGCCTTATGTGAATCAAGAATGCTTTTATTTGTGGGCTTTCCTGAAAGTGTCCCAGTTAGATAGCATTTTAGAGCTTGGAGCAAGGACTTTTTATGATCTTTTCATTAAGCATTACAAAGCTCAAAGGCAGAAAAATGTAAGCCCAGAACATAACCCATTTCAATCCTGTCAGGTATGTTACCTACATGAAGGTTCTTGCACAGCCACTATTCCTAACAAAAAAAAAAAAAAAACAACCTGTAGTTTTCTTTCTTTTCTGCCATCCCGCTGTGCAAGGAGACAAGGAAGAGAGGGAAAAAGAGGCTTTAAACAGGCAAACAGCACAAGATTATTCTACAATGCACTAAATGTGAGGCAAACCTATGCCCAGAGACAAGACAACAACTCAGTTTAGACTCATGAGGTTTCTTCTGATTTGGTCTTCTTACCTGGGGACTGGAGAGAACAATAACACAAAGGAATCTACAAATGAAGCTAACTGGATCAATTTACACTAAATAAAAATCACACAGAGCACACACCAGATAGAGGAGTAACTTTTAATTATTTTGATTTAGTTCTAGACCTCACCTTTAGCAAGTTCATCTATGAGCAAATTCAACAAAAGCAAAATGCCAACCATGTAACTTACTTGCGCATTGGTTTTCCACAGTATTACAAATGCACTTCCAAACTTTTGGGAATCTACTTCAAAAAACTGCTGTTTCAGTGGCATGGTAATTTTGAATATGAAAATCTTCTAAAGGACAGGACAATTACTACATTTGTTCCAATCCACCCCACAGGGGCAGAGCTAAAAGACATGCATCATACCCTAAAAGTACCCTCTTCCCATGTCATTAGCCAGAGGATAAAGAACACTACTTCCACCAACAGAGATGTCCTGTGTTTGTTTAAAAATACAACAAAAATACTCAAAAGCTGCGAAGTATTTTCCCTCCACAGCTCACTCCTACTTTACACCAATGACTACACTTAAGTTCCTACCTGACCCCTTCTCTCCCCACACAATTCCTGTCAAGCAAGTAGTAGTAGCACCTCGACTATCCACGTCCAAGCATTAAAAGTTTCACACATTTATTGTAAATATAAAGGGGCTCAGGAAGTTCTAAGAACATGTGAGCACTGATGCTTAACTCACTGCTGGAGATAGCCAGAAAGGAATCAGCACCCCACTGAGCATTTCTGAAAAAGGCATACTCTGTAATTCCACTCTCTAGGAGCTGGTTTCCTTCCATTTTATTCCAGAGCTCTAGGTCACAAGCTTTATGTCCCTTTAACAAAAAAGAAAGAAACAAACAAAGAAAGAAACAAGAAAGAAAGAAAGAAGAGAAAGGCAGCACTGGAAAAATCTTATCCTGCCAGTTATCCTAAAATATCCTTCCCCTCCATCACCATCACCTTTGAGGACCTATAAGGAAAGGAAAATCAACATAAATAACTTACTTTTACAGCGTGGTGGCTTTTTTTTTTTGTTTGTTTTTTATACAGAAAGGCTCAACATGAAACCACAAAGTCTACATGAAGTATGTGAAGTTAGATGTATGCTTAACAGCCTTATGCAGATAATCTGAAAGTGTAAAATCGTGGTTTGTTCTACATACACACAGAGGAAAAATACAGTACTGAAGTTAGGCAGGTATAACATCACAGGTGCTCTGTTATACCAAGCATTTTCCAGCTTAGCCTAAACTCTCTCCCTAGAAGTGCACAGGGGTAATTCCCTTCCTTATAAAAAAAAGTTTACAAAGGGAATAAGAAAAAACAAAACAAACCACACCAACACTTTCTCCACATGAACTGTGCGTAATAAATTTCACTTCAACTCTTCTCATAGGGCCTGTATGTAGTGGCATCTCGGCAGCGCTCTGTAGCGGTCACAGACCAGAAATAAGACATTCACCTGAAACTAAAGACAACCAGGTAGAACGTAAATGACCAAACAGGAACTGGTGATATGACAATTATCCAAACACCATTCCTGGGAACTCCCAGGAGCCGAAACAAGCCCGGCATTTCAGCGCGGCCTCGGCTCGCCTCGCCTAGCCTCACCTCAGGTGACGCCGTGCTCAGCGGCCAGGCCTGTTTCGGCAAGCAGGAGAAAGGGTGTCAGAAACGTTCCTCGCTAACAGCTTGCACGCAATTAAAGTTAAAATAAAAATAAACAAAAGTTACAGGCCTCGATTCTCGCAAACACGGGACACTTGCTTCTTCTAACCGCAACGCCTGGACTGAGAGGCTAGCAGCAGCCGGTGGGACGGCGGAGTAAGGAGCAGCCAAAGGCCGCCCTGCGGCTGCAGCACCCCGAAAGGCTTTTAAAAAAATTAGAAACCAAAATTGTTTTTATCCCTTGCGGCACCTCACTGAACTCCGCGTGTACTCCCAGAGGAAGCGTAGCCCAACCTCTCCGGCTTCCTTTAACGGACAAGGACAATGGCAAAAACTCACCACAGCCCCGCGTTTTAGGGAAACTTGGAAGTTGGAGGGCTGCTGCCCGCCCCGAAGGAGGGCAGTCTGGCAGCGCCTGCTCCCCGCCCGGTTCAATGGCTGATAGCTCTCAAAGAACGTTGCAGTAGACAGCCATGGTCCAGGGGAAATCAAAATGCCCGTGCTTAAAGACAAGGAACAGAAAGGGGCATTCCATGCAGGCAGGCCGCTGTGCGACCCCCGGGTCAGACGGCTCAGGGGGACGCCGGGCCGGCGGCTGCGCGGGCAGGAACTCACCAGGGGCAGCAGCCTGCTTACTCGCTAAGTTTCGCCAAGTTGGGCAGGGGAGGTGAGACGGCGGTCGGCGTAACCGAGGTTCCCTCCGCTGCCTCGGCTAGTCCATGGACACAGCGTGGCAACACTCCCGGAACTTCCCCGCGGCAGACGCGGCCAGCCACCGGGGCCGGGCTACCTCTCTGCAGAGCCGAGCCGCACTGCCGCTGCCCTGCTCCCGCCGGCGGCCGAGAAGCGCGGAAATGCACACCCGTTCCTCCGGCCACGCCTGCTCCCCACACGCAGCCGTGCTCCACACAAAGGGGACGCACAGGAAACACAGCTCTTCCTCCAACCCCACAGGGTCCTGCAGGCCTCCCAGTGCCTTCTCCCGCCGCGACATCCACAGGCGACCCCCCAGCTGGCGGGGTAACGCCGGCACCCTAGAGGACCCCCGAGACCGGGCGGAGCTGCTAGCGCAGAAGCCCCCGCCCCAGCGGCGGGAAGAACTGTCCGTCACGCTATCGCCGTCGCTTCCTCTCAGGCGGTCCCCGCAGACCCCTCCGGCGACTTAGCGAGTGGAAGGCTGTGCCCCTCAGTAAGGCTGTCAGCTTCGTTTATTTTAGGCTAGTTTTGCGGTCGAGATGGCCGTGTCCCCCGCCCCGCGGAAGAGACGCGCAAAGCCAATCTGCCCCGCGCCCCGCCCTGGGCTGAGGAAGCTCGGCAGCGGCCTGCGCTGCCGGCCCGTCCCCTCAGCCGCGTTTCCTCCCAGCCCGAGGGCTTTCGGAGCGAGAATTACCATGCTAGGGACAGCACTCCCAGGGTAATAGTGAAGGAGCAATCGAGCTTTACCTGAAAAGCCAGAAGGAGAAAAGGAAAGGAAAAGGATACCCTGAAGAGTATTTTAAGTCTTAAAGCGTCCTAGGGCTTTTAAATTTCTCTTTCGAGCTGCTGGGAACATAGGAGAGTGAGGAGAGAAGAGCTGAGTCGTGATTTTTAAACCCATGTGCTGAGCAAGTGATAGCTCACACCTGAAGTAGTCTCTGCCTGGTAGGTGGAAATGCCCTCCCCTTCCCTCTCTAGCTTAGCTTCTAACTTCTATGCACTGCTCCTCTTCCCATCTATTCTGTACCTAATAATCTCTCTTGGCACAGGGAAACAATTCTGTCTTCATTCTCTTCCTCATATAAACTGTTTTCTGCAGTGCCTCACTAACTATGAAAATAGGTTTTGTGCAAGGAAGGCAAAGCTAGGCTAAGGAAGGCAGTTCCACACCAGAGGCATTCTCACATTTGCCACACTTCAGGGCTTCGCTTCATTCGCTTCACCTACTTCAGGGCTTGGACTTCCTTATTTCCCCTAGATCAGGGGTGCTGCTCACCAAGACAGCAGCATTCCCACCAAGTGCTTAGCTGAAGGATGAAAGGAACTGTTGATCAATAAAACTGTGAGTTTATTAGTTCTCTTGTGTGATTATTCACTCCGTCAAGGAGGACAAAACCATTGTAGAATTAATATGGAATAAATGGACAGTTTCGTTCATCCACACCCATCTGAAGTCAGAGGAAACAGCAGTGTGTGACCCACCCACTGGTCACATTATCAAAATTCCTTCTCTTGCTTTCCATGCAGTTGTTCAAATAAATGTTTTTTAAAGGGGGGATGGGCAGGAGGGGTTTGCAAGGCATTCTCAAGCTTGGTCAAGGTTTCTTTGAAACCGAAGTAGAATGTTATTGACTGGTAAAGCTGGAAGAAGATCCTAGAAGAATCACCTGAATTTTAGAAAGCATCTACATAAGGAAGGGGAGCTAGGAAAGGTCAGTCAATTATCAGGTGGTAAAAAGACTCCATCTCAGAAAAACCTAAGTCATCTTACAGAGCACCAAGTCACACTGCCAGAAAGTCCGGAACCAAGACAGAAAGCTCCAGTGTGCTGCTTCTGTAAGAGACGGGAAGATGGAGAGTGCAATTGTAACTGCTAAGATTCAGCAAGGGAAATGGGAAATTTCAGGGAAACTCAGCAGCCCTATGATATAAGGACTGTGGAATTAGGAAGGGCATTCATCAGTCAAATCAGGTTCTCTTACAATTTAAAAAATTCTCTTAAAATGGTTAGTGTTAGCAGTTCACAGAGTAGTTGAATCGTTCATTGTTAGCATGGAGATAGTTCAAACAAACTATGTCCCATTTATTTACCTCTGATGTTATCTCTGTTCTGTGTGCTTCACTGTGTTGCAAATAAGGGTAAAAATTTAAACCATCAAAGAAACATTATCTAAGTGCTAGGGCAAATTGGAAAACTTATAAAAGGCAGTCACTTCAACAGTAAAAGGGTGTATTAATACTGCAGGAATGAAAATAGAAAGTGTGATTTTTTTAGTGAATTTCTGCAGGCCAAAGTTTGTGTATGGTTTGTCAGAGCTGTTTCCTCTGACTACTCCAAGACATTTCCTGAAATTAATGACTGATCCATTACGAGGGGTAGCTGGTGGAAAATGGCATGACCAGAGCTATTCACCAAATCCACTGTATCTGCTCATCATCATCATCAAAATTTTCAATGAAAATTCTTATTTACGGAGGGAGGTTTCTGTAAATCAGTTGGAATTATCATGTAGTTTTGATAACTACAAGGTTAAGAGAGAGGTGGGTGAAGGGGAAAAAAGCCCACAGAAGCTGCTGAGAGACTAAATGACTTCAAAGAAATCAGTAGATGGATCTAAAAGAGAAAGTATAAATATTTTAGGGAAATATTTTATAAAATTTTAGAGCTCAATTAGAAGAAGAATAAATTATGATTCAACTATTTAGTTATCAAATAAAATGTGAGTGGAATAGACTGAATCAGCAATTTAACTTTATATGTTAACTTTATGCATCATTTCCGCAATTTTTTTTCCATCTCCCTAGCTCCCTCTGCTGTTACCTCACCAAAGCTTTTGACACTCTTTGAGTAGAAAAGGCCTGTACCTGATCTTGGAACGATTAGGTTGTCCTCCCAAGTTCCTCAAAATGATTATTCTGTTACATGAGGATCAGCAAGGCCAAGTCAGATAGGCAATGCACTCTCTGAGCCCTTCCCAGTAACTGATGGCGTGAAACAAGGTTGTGTTCTCGCACCAGCTTTATTCACAATCTTCTTCAGCATGATGCTCCAAAGGGCTACGGTAGACCTCGACGAACAAAACAGCATTTATATTTGATATCGTACTGATGGGAGCCTATTCAATCTAAGGCGACTGAAGGCCCACACTAAGACTTAAATCATCTTGTCCGTGAACTGCTTTTTTGCTGACAATGCCGCCCTTGTTGCCCACACAGAAGCAGCTCTGCAACGTTTAACATCTTGCTTTGCGGAGGCGGCTGAGCTTTTTGGGCTGGAAGTCAGCTTGAAGAAGACAGTAGTTCTCTACCAACCTGCACCACAAGAAGATTATCACCATCTCCACATTACCATTGGTGAGTCAGAGCTTAAGTCAGTTCAGCAGTTCAGCTATTTGAGAAGCATTATTTCCTCGGATGCCACTATCGACAAAGAGATAGACAACAGAATAGCAAAGGTATATAGAGCCTTTGGAAAACTCCATAAAAGAATCTGGTGCAATAAACACCTGAAGAGAAGTACAAAGATTAGTGTCTGTAGAGCCGTTGTACTGTCTGCTCTTTTATATGGGTCTGAATCATGGGTTATCTACCGCCATCACCTGCGACTCCTTGAACACTTCCATCAGCGCTGCCTCCGTACAATTCTAAACATTCATTGGACTGACTATGTGTCAAATGTTACTGCCCTTGAACAGGCAGAGTTCACCAGTATCAAGCCCATATTGCTGAAATTGCAGCTGCCCTGGGCAGGGCACGTCTCTAGGATGAAGGATCGTCACCTCCCTAAGATTGTGTTTTATGGTGAACTTGCCACTGGTTGCTGCAAGAGAAGTGCCCCAAAGAAGAGATATAAGGACTCCCTGAAACAATACCTTAGCCTTGGCCATATTAACTACCATCAGTGGTCCACCTTGGCCTCCAATTGGGAGACTTGGAGAAACCCCATACATAATGCCATTGTCTCCTTTGAGAACACACGCAGAACTAGTCTCAAGGAGAAAAGACAATGTAGAAAGAATCGCGCCCCGCCTATACCACCCAAGGAGACTTTTCGTTTTGCTTTTTGCAACTGGATTTGCCTATCCCACATTAGCCTTTTTAGCCATCAGCACGCTTGTAGTAAGTGTGGGTAAAGCCCTTCCCAAATCTTTGTTCGCGAAGTCAAGCCATGATGATGATGATGATGATTGTACCTGTCTACTCCGGCTCCACTTCATCAGTGTCTGACAGAAGCCTGTGGGATAAAGGAAGCCTAAAACCGTAAACCAATCGTAAGAATAACAGTGAGTCTGTTAATAATTTATTCCCTCCACATGCATTTAAAAATGTCTATATACCACAGACTGCACCATTCAATACAGTATATCCTTCCTTTATGCTCCTTATTTTAAACGGAAAACATCCGCATAAGTAAAAAGATCGCAGGAGTATGTGTTTCTTCTATCAGCTTTCTTCCAGCCTAATCGGAATCTATTGTGGCCCGTTCTTGGCATCTTTGTTATGCAAATCTTTTCCTGCAGAAAAAAACGCGGATTTAGTGCTGACCTTCGCTTTGGCTGGGGTAGCAGTGACATCCAGTGGTTCAGGGAGAAAAAGAAATTTGCTCTTTTCCTTTCTACCACAGTGCATTACAGGAAAGACATCAGAAAATGGCAGGGATGCCTTGGCACTTCCTTCTCCTTGTGGATATTTGCACCAACTGCAAGCAGTCTGACAGCCGTGAAAATGGATAACCCACACTGGGAAACAAAAAACAGAAAACACCCTTTAAGACAGACCATTTTTCTAACAACTTTAAAAGGACATCACTCTAGGAAATGTAATCGGTATTTTCAAAAGTTCAAGTAAAAAGCACCTTTCTGTATTACATCTACACCATTGACTTCACAGCATTTTCTTTTTTTCTTTTTCAAGCCTGTTTCTGCACTGAAAAAAAGAGGATGGACAGCCTTACAAACAAGGGAAAATCAATTGAAGAGAAATTACTATCAGGGAGGTTTGCTTCTCAAGTCAGAATAAGCAAACTGTAAGTTATTAAAGAGTTTCCAGTAACCAGCTGAATGTTGAACTGTGATGTGATATTTGATGCACTGAGAATTGATTTAGATTATGTGTACATGTTGTGGTAAAAGGGTGCGGAGACAGTGTTCTCACAGGAGAATGGATAATTGGTACATAAACTCTGAAAATCCTGAAAGATACAGCAAGGCCATGAGAGGCCTGAGGAAGCCTAAACAAGCAAGATAAGAAGAAGCTGGATTTCACCAAGTTAATGAGAACTGTGGACTGTTGGCAAGTTTTCGAGGTCAAGTTCCCACACCTGTGCTTAACCAATTATATGC